TATACCCCTCATCGCAATATAGTATAATCATAATTCATGCCGAGTCAATGAACGGATGGCAGATCAAGCGGTCTAAGCAAAAAGAGACCCTGATTGTCCATTGTCATGTAATATATGATTACCCTGACCTGCGGTAGATTTCCCTTTTTTTGAAGGTATTGGTAGATCAGAGCTTGAACAGCTCTTTCTGCAACGGAAGCTTGTCACAAGATCTACAATCAAATACCTGGTGAACACTCTGTCCGCAAACATAACTGTTTGCCTGTTGCTCACAACTTAGTCTTATAGTGCTCATCCTATTTCGCAAGTACAACAGATCATCGTTTGCTTACGCCTTCATTCCTATGATTCTGTGAAATCTGCAGTTGATCTGTTTGCCGAACCTCGTCATGCCGGCGGAATCAAGGCGAGAGAAGAAATAGAATACATGTCAAGATGTTCCAGTTCGTCTCATTTATTAGGTACATGACTCGCGCGTCATATTTGAAAGAGAAGAAGATCGTAGATACCATACGTTGAAGCATCGAGTTCCCAAATTCATTCACTAGGGCAGCTGTTTCGAGGTAGGAAAAACACACGTAAGTGAAGTGACAGGGAAACGAAAAAAGAAGAAAGCTTGCACGAAGACCGGGTTTCGTGCAGGAGCCAGGAGACATTCATGCTGAAATTCGTTAGGAGAATCAACTCGAGTAGATTGGCAGGCAACCAGTGGATGAGGAGCCTCAAACAAAAGCACAGGATAGTAGTTCATCACAGGTCATCAGGATCATCAGGGTTCTCAAAGAGGTAATTGGCTGCGAGCTCTTCGTTCTTGTCACACGCAAAGTAGGCCTGGATGACCAGGTCTCGAGAGAAACCAAGTCGGCAGAGCTGGCAGTCAGTTAGCTTGAGATCGAAGAGTATCTGTATCAGTATCAAGAGGCACGTACGCGTTCAATGGCATCTCTCTCCTCCTCTGTAACGCTGATTGCGTGGGTACCTGGAGGCAGCGCGCCATCATCCTCTTCACTCAAGAGCTGGAGGAACTGCTCCTCATTCTGACCAATGAGCTGTGCAATCTGAGGATTACCAGCGGCAACTTGCTGAAGGATGGGCTCCAACATCTGCGGCTGTTGCTGGACCAACTGGCGGAGCTGCTGAAAGTGAGGGTTATTCCGCAAGAAGTCAAGGTTGGGCAGTCCTTCTCCAGCTCCGCCAGCAGCCGCACGAGCGCCACGACCAGCACCCTCTCCAGTGCCGGCCTGAGCAGCGGCTTCAAACAAATTGACTGGCTCATCACCACCGGTCGACGAGGGAGCACTCTCTCCGGAGGGAGCGGATGGGGCAGGGGGTGCGGCGGCTGCGGCAGCCTGTTGCTGCTGCTCCTGTTGAATATTGTCCGGAATTCCCTATAGTAGCGAAATAGCATTAGTCATGCGAAGCGCACGCGGAGTACAGCAGTGACGGCTCACATTCAACAGATACTCAATAGCGCGATCGGGGTTGAAGAAAGCCGCTCTCATGGCACGGTTGATATCACTTCTGGGGAAGCCCATGCTCTCCATTTGAGTAATGACCGCCTCGCTCTGAGAGCCACTCAGCAATGCGGATGGGTCATTGAACGCAGAAGAGGCATCGGCGGGTGCCTGAGCCGGAGCGGCGGGTGAGGGTGTTGCGGGTACAGCCGGGGCAGAAGGGGCAGAAGGGGCAGCAGACGGGGCCGGTGCAGCTGGGGCAGCCGGGGCAGCTGGCGTGGAGGCAGCAGCTCTGGAAGGTGTAACAGGAGCCTGTGAAGGAGTAGCAGCAGACGAGGGAGCCTTGGGCTACAAAGGATGGTAGAGTCAGATACAGTGCTCAGAAGTCGCTTCAATAGCAAGACCAAAGTCATACCTTCGATACCATGCATACTATGAAGCCCTTCTCCTCAATGTTGTATGTCTCGATGGTCTTGTCATCTTGGAGGATTTTCCCTGCGAGTTATCAAGCGAAGCGTCAGCAAAATCATTTAAAGAAGAAAAATGAAAATTGAATGGTGCCATTCCAGCAGAGATTTGAGAAATGAGGAAACCCAGGGTGATCATTGCCAGACTAACCGGAATAGATGAGCTTCAGCTGAGGTACCTCCCATCCTTTTTCCTTGGAGATTTTTTCCTTTACTTCTCCGACCTAGGAAAGATTGAAGTCAGCCCCGCACTGGCAGAACACTCGCGCAGGAGAAAAGCTCACCGTCTCAGAGGGCTCTGCATCAATTACGAATTTCTGCTGTTTGAGGTCCTGTCGGGAAGAGATCACGGTCAGTTTTTGATGGCCCAAATATATCAACAGGCTGGAGTTGGTTGCTGCAGAAGGTACCTTGAATGTAAGCTTCATCTTGCGCCACCGAAGGAGAGGAGATGGCTAGGAGAGGTGGGGAGGAGTTTAAAGTAGCCGGGGAATAGAGGGGTATGGAGTCGCAGAGTATCAAATGTCCGAAGCAGAGGCTGAAGGGAGTTAACGAGGTTATGGAGATAGCCAAACCAGCAAGACCAGAGGGCTAAAAGTGAAAAGGAGCTGGATTCGGGAAGTGGGAAAGATTGATGACCATAATCATGACGCCCAGGAAGAATGGAAAGGGAAGAGTGGGAGAGCTGGGGGGCGGTCACGGCATCATGCGCCACATCCACTTGTGATCCAGCCACACTATGTGATTGCTTCAGCCACGATGATTAGTCATTCCAGGTCCGATCCATGAACCCGTCTATCTGGGTTGTATAAAGGCAGATACTACCTAGTAGACATGGATGTCATTTTCTCAGAATAAGTTATCACTAGGGCAATCACACAGGGAGCTTACAGAGTACGTCTTACTCTAGAGGCATCCACTGATGTTTGAGTCTCTAGGTGTTGTTCTACCAGGATATAGTTCACTTTACAGAGTACTCTCTGCATCGATATATATATCATCGGAAATGGATGATCCCAGCATCGTCACATTTTATAGTTCTCGTGGGTTGACCTACTGCATTTCATCACGAAACAAATCTACTACCAAAGTCAGTGCGACATAATCATGCTCGAGGACAACTTTTGTCATAAAGTAAGGGACGATCATCAGAAAGCCGGAGCAAGCTGACGCATACATGTGAAACCAAGGCAAGAATGTAATTGCAGCACAGCTTGCTGAGCCCAAAGAGATCTAATGGTGGAGAGCTGCAAGCAGAAGCAATTTAATAAGAACATACCAGCATGCTGCCCTCAAGGATATCAAACGAAGGCCACCTAACCATTGTCCATCACATCCTACTCTCTACCAAACCAGACAAAAGTACCATTGCAAATGAGACTATTCTTCTACTGAAGTAATGAACTACTCTGAATATAAACATGATTCTCAGAATTCCAATCTATTTAATTTGTGAGCAGAGGGTTGTGAAAAGGGTCAGAGCACTGGTTGGATGTATCTCATTGATCTATCACATAGTCCAGTGGTATAGACCGAGGCCCACAAAGCCAGAGACTGAGACGGTGATCCTATCTCCTGGGAGTAGAAAATAGTACGTATTGGAAGCTCACTTTATATTTACACTAATTCTGATATGCTTCCAACACTCTTATGAATGTCTACCCTTCGAATTTCGTTACTCGCAAACGAAATATAGACGTGAGTACCTACTCCGTAGAATTATTATTGATTCGGATAGGTACTGAGTATCTGACAACTCCACATTCCACAAACATCAGGCGAGGACTGCGAGACATCACATTTCGACCGGGGAGATTATCTAGTGCCATCTGCGTACCCCATCTTGATACCAAATATACAGATCGGACGATTCCACATTGTAGGGCCGTCCCGGGATCCTGGAGATCCTCCCGGCCGCTTCTTCTAGCGTATTGACGAACCTTGACAAATAGTCTTCTGGACGAGTTCCATGCACGAAACAGAATGTTCGCTTTCTAGACGTCTTGGGGCTCCTCCTAATTGGCTAAGGACTGTCTTCAGGATCAGCTCGGGGTCAGACATTCTAGACATGATGCAAGTTGCCCCTGCTTGGTGGAGATTCGATAGTTTTCTGGACCAGCGTTCCCTGCCTATCCAAATGATCTCATGAAAAACACTCAGAGGACAAGTCATCTGCACTATATGTATGTTCACTGGCGTTCTCGAGAGAAAGAAAAGTATTGGGACGAAGATATGCAAGTGGAGAGGATCTGCTGGGCGGGCTGATTGATATGTTGGCGAAACATTAACGCACATAGACGGGTGGGATTGAATCTCTTGTCTTTTCCCCAGTCTACTCTGGATATTTGGTTTCTGATATGTTTTGCCCATCGCTATTTAATGACGAATCAGGACTCTGCTATCTGACATCTTCAAAAGTCAAAACCATAGATGCCTGACTGAGACGGCTAGAGATCCTGTCACCCCTGCCCATAACTTAATCGGGACAAGCGATCGAAAGACGGATTCCATCCATCTTGAACCTCAAGGTTCGGGGAACTTCTCCCCCCGTTGGTGAGCCATCCTTATTCTGATAGATAGATATTTTAGGATCTATTGAGCCTTTTCAGCCCGGGATGATGCATATTTACCCGTCTCTTCCCTCATGTGAGGTTGATTCTGAGCTCACCCAGATGCTTGTTACACCACCGAACCCCTCATATTCCTTCTCCTCATCCCATTGTTATTGTCATCTGCTTTGTTGTCGACTTTCGTTTCTAGCAGGCAGCATTCCCAGTGCCCATAATCTTTATGCTTCCTCTTACGCCGTTGACACGACTGATGAGATGACCCATTTTGTTACTATCTGTTCATGAATTTGCGGAAGAACTTGGTTATACTCACCTCCTTCTCTCGTCTACAATTCTGCTGTCTCTTGTGATTCCTCCTACACGACTTCTCGGACCCTCTAATTCGATTGCATCGGATCAACTGTGCACTGAACGCCACACCGACACCCCTCGCATCTCGAACGTGCATCTGGATCTCTTGTTAGTTGTTGCTCCTTGTTGATTGCGTAAGAGCACCTGCAGGGCCCAATATGCATGTGGCCAAGCTGGCATATCTTTTGGGAGGTATCTCCATGGCGTTGAACTTGGTCGCCAGTGTCCTTCACGGCGTTTGTCTTGTTTCATCAGGAGCCCCCTCGATCGAATCGATCACTGTCACACTCAGCGCCGCTAGCTGCCTGGTCTTGGTTGCTCTAATACTTCTATGGAGGAAGAATATTGGGCTTCGGTCTATAGACCGTCGGGAAAGGTGGCGGACCGTAGCGTATGGCCTCATGTTTGCATATCTTGCAATATCCAGCGGCGTCACAGCTGGGGCGGTCGTGTGGAGCACATCAAGACTCACGGCAAGGGGGAACAAAACGGGGACACCTTCAAGACAGCTGGGACTATACGTATCCAGGTCTGTGGTATGGACATTGTCTGTGTTTAGCCAGGGGCTGTTCGCTGGTTTTCTTTTGACATCCTGGATTGACAACCCCCACTATCCGAGCTCGCTCTCGCAGGAGCTTGTGCTGCAACCAGACCAGTCGAGTCTGCAGCATAAAAGCACTGTCAAGGAACCGGCCTTGACTATTGGGTCACGACGACAATCCATTGATCGAAAAACGAGTTGCGATGGCAGCCTTTCCCCAAATCAGCCAGCTACCTCGATCGCATCCTCTCACCGCTATTCTGGAAGGACTTTATTTCAACAAGATTCTAAGCACAATTCGCTGGACCTTCATTCACCAGGGCTGGGTATGCCCTCTCCTGATTCCAACGTTTCCCGCAACAGATTAGAAACGAGGCAGGATGAACGGGACAGCTGCAGCATAACTACCGAGGAGCGACAAGGGACGCGCAGAATCCAGCGGACCCCATCCGAGATCAAGAGGTCTTTGGACAGTTTGATGCTTCAGCCATCATCAGGCACGTCATCTCCGGCCGCATCGACGACCAAGCTAGGGGCTTCGCGAGCGCCTGTCACCCCGAAGCTGAACTTACCTGACGAGAGCAATATCCACCCATTGTTTCGTTCCGATAGCCCATCGCCACCTCCGACACCGATGCCCGGGACAAATCTCCATGCGTCACCCGTGGCGGGGCAGACGATCTCGGTCAAGACGTTGAATCGGGTGAGATCAGCCAATTCGCTTCGAGCTCAAGGTCCACGAAGCAGGTCTCCACTGTTTGAGCGGATAGATCAGCAAGGCGAGACGGCGGAGGAGCAAAGGCCGAATCCAAGCCTTGAGAGCCAAGGCAGATCAGAAGAAGTGTCGGCGATACCTGGATTCTTCATGGCCGCGGATGTGCGCAAGAGCATAACCCGGTATGAGAAGAGGTATGAATTGAATGAATCTCCAGACGAGAGCTAGTGTGACGGTTTTCCCTGGAAATGCTTTCTCATGACTTTTTCATTTGTCCTTTTGTCTGTGTTTGTTTGCCATAGATCCCGGGAACAGCGTGTGTTGCTATACTGATGCAATCAGAACTTACGCTGAGTGTTCTCGAATTTTCAATCATGTACATAGAAGTTGTATAGAACATAAGAGTAGAGTTAATTCCAGCCAAGTCGTCTCTCGGAAGCTGGTCACCCTTCTACTAAAGCTCCCAGTCTCATAAATCTGACTTTCAGCCATCCTCTTATGCTATATTACCTGAGTCCAGCTGCGAGTGAGTAAACAAGAAGAGAACATGAGAAGGTAGGGAGACAGGCATGTGGTTTGGACTGGGATGCTATACTAATCATGGAGTAAACTTCGTTGAATGATCATCTCATTTGGAAAGATGAAAGAGCCTAATATTGTCATACCATAGAACTCTGACTCTGCTTCAACTTATGTAGATTGTGTTCGTGCTCATTCCAGTGTATGCATTTTAGCTTCGTTTACTAGTCCTGACTGCTCGCCCTTGCAGTGTTCATTCCATCAGCTTGCGTCTTTCTTTGCTTCTCCCTTCCAACTTCTTTTTTTTTATTATTATCAATCATCTTTTATCCTTATCCTTCTCTCCATACAGCGTCTTGAATGATCTCCCCTGACCGAGTGTTTCGGTGATTTTGTCATGGTATCTTTGCTCCCATCCATACTTCCACACTCCAACCTTTGCGCCACTCCACTCTCGCTCTGACCCAGTCTAATTCCTCCATCCAAATAATAACTACAAAACTACTACCACTGGAACACACTGCTCCTCCTCATACAGTCTGATTCAATAACGCAGACCGTTCAGATCTTTTCCTCTGGTCCGCATCTGAATTCATTCATCTATTTCTCCTCAACCAGAAAATACTGCTGTTGTTGTCTGTGCAAAGACTGACCACAAAAATCTGCCTTTTGATGCAACTACATTGTGCTAAGCGACTGACTGGAATTTGACGGGCCGCACATGGTGACCAACAACGTCTTGCCTTGCCTTTAGGCAGTCTCTTACTATCTACTACCATCTACTATTCATCACTTCTCTGATCAAGACATTGGAGTTCCAAAACTGCCTCTGCGGAGTTTTCCTCTTGAATTGAGCTTTGACACCAGCTCCATCTCACTTTATCTTACCTCTTTCTCTTGCTCTCTTTTCCTTTGAAGAGTCCATTACTTGCCTTCATTCTCGTCATTTTCATTCACTCTCTTTCTTCGATTCATCGTCAAATTTCCCCTTGAAAAAACCAAGAAGTCGTTGTGACCAGGTCCAAGTACAACCACTCCGGAGTACTTCCATACAAATACGTACCCTGCTAGCTCCGGCGAGTCCCCTAAGCACACACAGCAAGCTTAACCAACCACAAATCAACGCCATCTTTACTTTTTCCCACTTCCACTGTTGATCCACTTGGCCGCACCTCGCTTTTACTTTGTTCTTCCCCGTCCTCTTACTACTACTACTACTACTACACTACTATCTACTCCGTATTATCTACTACATACTACTATCATCGATCTACTACATTTGCTACTGCTATTACCTCTCCTCCTCCTCCTCCTCCTACTACCTTACTCCATACTGGCATTGCTGCTATCCACCTTACCCACAGTGTACATCACCTTACCTGCTATTACCACAACCACGATCACCACCACTACTACTACTACTACTCAATTTGACCATCTACTATCACCATCTGCACTTACTACCACGACTCGATACTGGATCAGCAGTCAACTTCAAGGCCGGTCCACCTCGCTTCTACCGTCTTCCAGGCCAGGTTAGTTCGCGAAGTTCTTCTTGTATCCTTTCTCTGTATCTTTTCTTGCTTTTTCTCATCAGCTTCCCCTTTTGTTATTCACCCATCCATGGCCCGTGATCCCTGCATCTCTTCAGTGCTTGTCTTTGCACGGTCTGCCTCGCCGTGATAGAATCTCAATGCATTCTCAGCCCTCTTTTCCTATCATCTCCACAGTTTCGATATAGATTCGGTCTCCTGAGAATTTCCGTCTCTTTCGCGTTGGTCTTCAGATGTACTCATTTTATTCCTTGTTCTTCTGAATGGTGCTCTCGAAAACCTCTTGCTTCGATGGCAACTCAGCGCCTCGATACTTCTTTTCCCTATCGAACTCACTCCAGGTTATGCTTTTTGAGCTTTCCCCCCTTGTTTCTTACAGAGTCAGCAGCCCGCTTATAACCACATTTTCTCTCTGTTTCGCTGCGATTCACATCAATTTGAATAGCATCGGTCACTGACCAATCTCTGATAGACAGCGATGGCGGGTGCCAAGCGTAAGCTCGAAGCTTCTCAGGGAGCGACGCCTGCTGGCGCTGGCGCTACACCTCCAGGAAACATGACCCCCCTAGCTGGTAAGGGCTCGACTGTTCAATACTTACAGTGCCGATTTCTGATTCTACTATAGATCCTTCCAGGGAGGATAACTCCAACATTCGTATCACCCGGAGCGCTCGGGCTAGCCGAGATGCTCGTGCTCATAATATGAACATTCCGAGCACCCCATCATCTACTAACAATACCACTCACAACAATCTCAATAATGGTCGCCCGTCACGCATTATCACGCTGAGCACCCGCGCGGCGAGAGCCAATAGTGCCCGCCAGGCTCAGGCCAACAGTCTCCGCGAAGCCCAAGCAAACAATGCTCCTGTGGGCAATACTGCTACCAACACTGCCAACCCTGTCCGTGAGACTCGCACCTCTCGAGCACGCGCTGCTGCCGCGGCCGCGGCTGGCCCTGCTGTGCCCTCTGCGGCCGCGGCCCTCACTGCTCCAGCTCCGGCTGACAGCGCAGCATCGGCGACTGTTCCAGAGACCCCCCGGCATAAGCGCGCCAAACGAGCTCCTACTGTTGAGGAGACGCCAAGGACGACGAGGCAGTCTGCAAGACTTAGGGGCAATATCCAACCCCTTAGTTCCACCGATAATACTCTCTCGAACTCTCGGGTTGAGTCCAAAGAGCCTGATGGCAGCCCATCCGCCGGCATGGCTCCTGGCGGCCGGACACGGACACGGAGCAGACAGATGGTCAACAGCCTTAACGAGAAACCCGGCGATTCAACAGCACCGGCTAATTCACCTGCAGCTGCTACTGGTTCTACAATCACTTCGTCTCCCTCGAAAAACAGTGCCGCAAGAAACGAAGAGAACATCAGCCCTCTGGATACAGATACTGCGCAGCTATCCACAAAAAATCAAACATCTCAACCAGGTGATGAAGATTTATCAAAGGAGAACGTTTCTGATGACATCGAGGATAAACTGAACGAACCCTCAGACTTGGAGAGTGAGGAAAAGCACGAACCCATGACTCTCCCACCCAAGTCACTGAAACGGAAGTCTCCAGAGCCCGATGACGGCGTCGCTGGGGAGCTCATGCGCTCTCCTACTTCTCCACGCAAGAAGCCGAAAGTGGAGAACGCAGAGCTGGACCGCGCGTTGGACCAGCAGTTACAGGAAGGCACTGAGAATAGCGTTGATGACAAAGCAGCGCCGTCGTCCCCTGCTGACGTGGATGCTATTGCTGCCGAGAGTGAAGTTGAAGCCGCCGAGGACGATGCTCTCAAAGCCGGAGCCACTACATCTGTTGCTGCGGACGCCGATGTTGCCGATGCTCACAATGCTGAAATTACTGGGGTCTCTGCTGTCAATGCTAGCGACGCGAATCTTGATGTTTCTGATGCTGCGGACAATGATGCCACTGCTGCTAAAGAACCGGCGGCAGGTAATGAGTCTCGTCAAATCACAGAAGAAGTTGAAGAACCCGCTTCTGAAAATGGTGTTGAATTTACGGTCAGCAGTGGACGGGGACGGGGACGGGGCCGTGGCCGTGGAGGCGGCGGCATGGGAGCCTCCACACGCGGCGGGGGAGTGCAGAAAGGGAAAGGAAAATCCAAAGGACCAGGCAAAGGAAAGGGAAAGGTTAAAAGCAAAAAAAAGGGGCGCAAAGCGGATGGCGATAATGACCAGGATTCTGGGCCAGAACCCGAGCCTCTGCGTTCTCCTTCTCCGACTCCAGCCACTCAGAAGATGCGGGACCGCCAACGGGAACTGGATAAGGCGTTCAAGAAGGTAGCAGCGGCCCAGCGACTGGCTTTGTCTGTGCTAGCCGAGCATTCTCAGCGCAAGCTTGCGCGGGATAAGAACGCCCATAAGAAAGTGCCAGAGTTTGATGAGGTCAACCGGCAACTACAGGAGAGATTAGAAAGACACAGGGAGATATTGCGCCGAGAATACGAATATAAGGTAGCCAATGCGGACCGGGTTCTCGCTCTTGAGAAGGAGAATCTCGAGATACAATTTCGGGTAAGTCCTTGCCGCTTTGTTCACATCCCTCAGGAAGTCCGGATGCTAAGCGCCATATCATACAGAGGAAAGCCCGCGAAATTCAACACGAACATCTTCTTGCAAGTCAGGGGGCGTACATGGCATTCGTTGAGGGCCGTCGCGCTGCAGAGGATGATGAACACACTGAGGTTAGTCATTCCGAACCATATCTGACTGGCGAAGGAGACTGCGGGCTAACTCGTTGTCTTACAGACGGATGAATCCGAAACCGAGGTTGACCGTGGACGTATTCGTCCGCCGGCCAGAGAGATGAAGAGGGGATACTATTCATCCTTTGTGCGAAACCCTGCCGGTGCTGCTCTGTACGAGCGTGCCCTGAGTGGCTGGGAGGATTTTGTTCAACGAGCCAAGCTGGGAGGCGACATTGAGCCGCAGATGAACGACATGGAAGAAGCTGTGCCATCCCCTGGTCTCTCAGCACATGATGTTCTTAGCATGATCATTGAAGCCACGGGGGTGGTCCAAACGCAAGATGACGCTATGGTGGAGAGTAACAAGGTATCCGCTCCGGTACCCGAGTCGCGGGCTGAGGCTTTATACGCCCTGGCCGATGCCGCAATCGCTTCCACCCTGCCCCCGCCCAGAGCGGCCATGACGCCACGAGCCCCAGCACCCCGAGCTATCCTCCCACAACCTCCTCAGCTTCAGGGAATCCAGGGTCCAACTGATCCGCGAGCCTTTGTGCTACCACCCCCCACTCCGCAGCGGCAGCAACCACGTCGGTTGCTGCCTGCTGGGCAATTACCGGATCCTTTCGCCGCCAGAAACGGCCCTCCGCAACTGCCCCCTCCCCCTGGTTCCAACTTTCAACGTCCTCCCCTGCCTGGCTTTCTAACCGGGCCTCCTCCGCCGCCCCTGTACTACACACACCCACCTCCTCCGGGCCCTCGGCCACCCTTCTAGAAGGGAAGTATCGTGGGGAAGGGGGAAAAGGGAGCAGCATTGAGCTTTGTTGCCCACGGGATCAGGTGGTGGTCTCGGCTCCTTGTTCTCTGTTTGCCTGGATACCTTCCTCCTCGATGGTCCCCTTTTACTTTCTGCTCTCTTATGAATTCTCTTGGGGGTAAGTTACTGACTCTGGGTCGTTGTGTTTGGTTTATGACTTTTTGCCCAGGCGTTGGCATGGATCGGGTCGTCCTCATTGATTCACATTGTTGCATATATCCATCTACTTATGAGTAGATGGACCATTGTGACTAGCATATTTTGTATTTGATGCGTTATCTAATCTGCAAGCAGAGATTGTCATCCATGGCGGGCCCATTGGAATGAGAAAGCGTGTACTCTACGATCGATCTGAGATTCTGGTTGATTTTGCTTCTCTGTATTCATATGAGGTGTTTTTGGATTGAAAGATGTACAATACTCAATAGCATAGATCCCAGCAACCATTCACCTACTGTTCTCGTACTATTCGGCAAGCAACTGGACTGGTATACAGGGATAGAGGACTGTGAAAAGAGCGGTGGGTCACAGTGCGCTGCTGTTTTGGGCCTGATGAGCCACAGGAACCACTTTCAAAGATTCACTGTGATGATAGGTCACTTGAAGGATACAATGACTGACTGCTCTGGGGCTGACTTTCGCATTAACATGTAGCTATGGGGCGAAGAATGACTCTTGATGACTCGGTCTCGGTGACTCCTCCTCCGCCCCGATTGGGTCTAGTCCACACAGAGCGGGGCGATGCGACGGAGCTTTTTGATAATCTTTTCTTGGGCTTCAAATACTTCCCTCGTGAGCGGCAATATTGGCTTTTTCTTCGTTGTGAAAGACCAGAAACTAAACTCCCCAAAGTTCAATTACTCTCGCTCGGCGAAGAAAGCTGGGGGTTTGTCCTTTTCATTCTTCTTCCCACGCCGGTTCCTCATCCGAATTTTCCCCTCCTCAAGTATCGACGTCACCCAGCTTCGCAAAGCTTTCGCTTGCAGTCTCACACAGACGCTCTTATATTTTCGTCGTTCGTCTGGGTGTCCAGAGTACCTACTTTCAATCATCTTTGAACCCCAGTACCTAGCAAGCTACGGAACTTCGCACGATGGCCGTCCGCGCGCAGTTTGAAAACTCCAACGAGTAAGTAGCGGGGACGCATCTCTTTCTCTCCAAGGTTGTTTGTTTCTTTATGGGAGAGGACTAATTTGCATTTTTACTCTTGCAGAGTCGGCGTCTTCGCCCGCCTGACTAACTCATATGCGATTGTCGCCATCGGCGCTTCAGAAAACTTCTACAGGTGCGCTACTCATGCTCCCGAGTCTCGCCTTGCGAGCCGTTCCTTCTGACAGATAATTTCAACATCACCAGTGTATTCGAGGCGGAACTCCAGGATGTCATTCCCATCTGTCATGCTACCATTGCCGGCACCCGGATTGTCGGTCGTCTAACAGCGGGGTATGTCTTTTGTCTTTGTTTACTGGCTCCAACGCAACGAAACCCAGGAGCGAGCGGCGAGCAGAGCCATGGAGCTGACAGTCTGGATGATTCGAACAGTAACCGAAAAGGCCTTCTCGTCCCCACAACGACAACAGACCAGGAGCTGCAACATCTGCGGAATACGCTGCCAGACGATGTGAAGATCCAACGGATAGAGGAGCGGCTCTCGGCGCTGGGCAATGTCATCTGCTGCAATGACCATGTGGCACTGGTGCATCCGGATCTGGAGCGGGAAACAGAGGAAATGTACGTTTTGCGCGCTTTCGTCCTTGCTCGCGGGGAAAGGAAAGAGAAACGGCGGGGATAACGGACACTGACACGGTCAAAAACAGAATCGCCGACGTCCTCGGCGTCGAAGTCTTCCGGCAAACCATCGCCGACAACGTCCTGACGGGCTCGTACATGGCCCTCTCCAACCAGGGCGGTATCGTCCACCCAAAGACCTCCATCCGGGACCAGGACGAGCTCTCCTCCCTACTCCAGGTGCCCCTCGTCGCGGGCAGTGTCAACCGCGGCAGCCCCGTCGTCGGCGCCGGCATGGTCGTCAACGACTGGCTGGCCGTCACCGGTCTCGACACCACCGCGACCGAGTTGAGTGTGGTCGAATCTGTCTTCCGGCTGGGCGAGATGGGCCCTCGTGGTCTGGGGGTGGGCAATGCCAACAAGGAGAGTATTGTGGAGAGTTTCTACTAAACCGGCCAATCGGGTTTTCTACTTTATTCTTTTGTTTCCTCTTTACCTTTTATTTCCATGTCCTCATGTATCCCCCTCACGTGATTATGGTTATGGTGTAAATCCCCCGAAATGGATCATTCAGATCGGTTGAATGTTCAAAATCTGATCTTTACAGAATATAGATTACCATTCAGAAGAGTGGATGATGATTTATCCATTGTGCAGCAATATTCTTCGATATTATGTTGTATAGTCATCAAGGTTGATCGAAGGAACATCTTCCAGCCTCTACCAGACGACGGCCCAGAAAAGGAAACAAAGTTAGCAAAAGTAATAATACTAGTGACATGCACAGAAGCAAGAATGAAATAGAAAAGAAAAATTCAAGCTAGTTGTACAATTCCAGATCACTCCCTTGTTTTCTGTTTCCTGCCCCGTCGCGCAATATGCAAATGAACATGAATCTCCGAAAGATATGGACAAGGGGGTATTGTGAAAAAAGATAAAAATTCCATCAGCTGTGAATATGACAAACTTGATGAACCTTTCAAATGGTAAGCATGATATTGAAGGGGAAAAGAAAGAAAAGAAGACTAAACGCCGTAAACACCAATCTGGGTAAATCCTGGGCTGAGACAAGAAAGGAGACCCTGAATGCAAGCCGAGGGCATACGGCTATACTTGGCCCTCGATACCGATTCGATTTGACTGAAGCTTTCCCGAGTCGGCGTCGTACTCCTCTGCTGGCAAAGGGGCAGGGAAAGGTTTCTGTTCCAGCAGATGATTGTTCATACCGGGAGACCGGGCCGATTCATCGTTGTCGCTGTGCTCCGTTGACAAAGGTGGCGGGGGAGGAGGAGTTGGTGCAGTCTCCGGGCTGTGCAGCATGGAATCACCATTCTCAGCTTGGAAGTGATATTCTCCAGTGCCGTCTGGCGTGGGTTGCTCTTCATCACCTAGAGGAGGCGGTGGTGGCGGGGGAGGAGGTATGGGTGTTGTTGACTTCTGCCTCTTCGAAGGTGACATCGCTTCTTCAGCACTTCCTTCAGCAAGATCCACTTCGTCTTCCCTCTTGCGCTTGAGAATGCCTTGCGGATCGCTGTCCATGAAGGTATCGTTCTCTTCAACCTTTTCTGCTTCGCCATCAGACAGGTTCACGTCGACATCTTCAACGGTGTTGTGGCCATTGGCCGTTTCTCCTGCTTTCGAATCACCTCCCTTTGCCTGCTTCTCGGCCTTTCTCTGCTCATAAGCTCGGTGCTTCGCAACAGCCTTGTCAAAGAACTCCTTGCAGAATGCCTTGACTTTCTTTTGTTGTTTTTCGCTAATCTTCGTTGGATCTTCCACGCGATTGTTTTTGAAATCGGAGTTGACGAGCTTCTTGGCGACCTATTGCAAGGCAAGAAGCGCTGGTTAGCACATGTACTAGGTCTCGCATAATGAACGGCTCGACGAGCCGACTCACATCCTTAGCATAGCGCTTCAAATCCTCCTTCGGAAGCTTGTGTTTGAATTTGTCCACCACGTATTTGATATGAGGGAAAAGCTGCACAAGTCAGGCCATCTGTACTCAAGAATAACGACAGGTGTTCTTGATGGTGAGCTCACCGTGTTCTCATAAAGCTTCTTCTGTTTCTCTTCACTGTAACTTCTCCACTTCTCCTGCCCTTCACTGAAACTCGCCGTTTCTTTAGAAGCTTGCGGTGTGCCTGGTGTGACAGTCTTCTCCTTCGGCGTGTTCTCCTTAGCATTCAAGATACCATCGATGATACCTTGTAGGGCTTTGTTCTTCGCCTGGCTGGCTGGGACATCAACCTCAGGTGCGGCGTGAATCGGACGAGTCCAGGTGACATCCCCCCGGGCGCAGTAATAATATGTCCTGCCGTGTGATTCGGCTGCGAACCATCCCGGAGGCAAAGGATTGAATTGGCGGCGGAACTGACGGGGACCGTGATGCTGGGAGTTTCTGGGACCGTTGCTCTTCCGACCGGGATTCGCTGGCCCGCGAGGAGCATCCAACGACCGGGATCTTGAACGCGAACGAGATTGAGATCGTTTCTGCTCATCATTATTATGTTCTCTCCGCCCGAATTGGCTGACTGAAGCGACTGCATTCGGATCTCGCTTCATGCGAGGGATACGGTATCCAACTTCCAGAGTCGCCCAGTGCTGCAAAAGTGCGGCTGCCTTCTTCTCGACCCGCTCATCTCCACAAGTTGTCAGCGGCTGGACGGTGGATTCGATCTTTGAATCAATGATCTTGTTCCGTGTAAGACGTGGGAACTGGTCCAGAATATCGAGGATTTGCAACACAACATTAAAGTCCTCCTTCCACAAGGTGAGTTGGGAATTCAGGATCTGGTAGCCGTGCATCTTCACCACACGATTGCGGACTCGTTCATCGTCGCAGCGTTCGATCCGCCTAAGCAACTTGACAGCAATCCACTTTTCTTTGCATTGCATCAGGGCTGCCATGACCTTGGTGACGCCGTTCTCATCTAGAGACTTAGGCTGCACGCTGTCAACATACTCCTCATCATCCTCGCCCATCTTCTTCTTCCGCGGCCGCTTCGCAACAGCGGTGTCCCAGCTATCAGCATCTTCGATACCCAAAGCTTCAATGGTGGCATTAGATAGTTTGGTAGCACGATCGGTCTGAGTCTTTCCTCCAATGAAGCCAGTGCAATTCGGTTCGCCACAGTAGCATGGTTGAGGATCCGCGCCATAACGATCGACGTTGTAATTGAAAACGAGTTCTTCGCCGGCTTGAATAGCCCTTTCGGCAAAGATCCCCATACGCAATTTCTCACCGACGACCCATTTATCGACGTAGCAGTTGGGATTGCACGAGTGATTGCAAAAGCGACCCAGGTTGCCTTTCTTCGTCGCATCAACAAATTCCCCTCTGCTGAGGGACATGAAATAAAAGTGTTTGATCCCTTCTTCATCGTACTGTCTCATGCGTCGCCGGAATTGAGCCTCGTTGATGACTTCGCCGACATACTCGAAGATGAATTGGTGCGGTCGCAAATCAGTCTCGGCACGGAGACCGAACCCTTTCTTCGCTGTCTTGATGACCGCGACATTTGCATACTCTTTGCGCTGGAATCGTTGATTCTGGCATTCAGCACCGCAGCTGCAGTCACCCACGCACTCAATTTTCGTAGCGCGATTGATACAATCAGAATCTTCTCCACATGCCAGATTCTTGGACACGGACGGCTCTGCTCAAACGAGTTAGAGGGGTTCTGGCGAACATGGGCATGTACGCAATAGAAGGGGTTAAAAATGAGCAGTAAAGACAGCTTTTGGTCTCTTTGTCGTTTTCCTGTCTTTTTTTCCCCCAATTTTCTTTGGCAAGGGACCCAGGAACGCGCGTCGGAGAAAAAGGAGGGGGAACACCCGACAAGTGAAAATCGCAGTGAAGAGCAATAACCGTAAGAGATTGGAGAAAAGGAAAGAGAGAAAAAAACGCATAACTTACCCCATTCTTCAGCACAATCGCATTCCATGGCATGCTCAGTATAACCCATGTATTTATTGGCATAGGTACAAGTTTCCATCACTTCAAAAGTCGATTGCGCTTCCGCCGTGCTGTCCGGCAAATGCAGAAACAGCTGAGGGGGTTGCGCAACGACCTTCTGCGAAGAGCTGCGCGATAACTTGGGAGGCTGACCGGGTTCCATCTTGACAGTGATATCGCCCCCGACTTTCTCTGCCTTGGCTGTGAAATCTCCATTTTCGGTTTTGATTGGAGTTCGAGATGAGTTCCGCGATTTGATAGCGGACGAAGCCAGATCATCCATCTCGGAGTGACCTTTGGTGGTGAATGAGTGGTCTAGTAACCCGTTGGGATCATGTTTCAAAACGGCATCTCCGCCGTTGGAGATGGGCATCTCTGCGGCACCGTCGTGCTGCTCAATCTTCATCGCGGTCACCGCATTTGCTACAGACGATGAGGGTGAGTCCGCGTTGTCATGAGAGGACATGACGACACGGACGGAAGAGCACAATCTTTAGGAGCCAGCGAGCGGAATACGGGGGATTCCGATAAATGTTGATGAGACAAAGTGTGTGTTGAGGTGTTGTTGGGTTGAGAAATGGAGATGGGGGGGAGGGAAGAGAAAACGAAGGCAAAAGCGAAGAAAGACTTCAAGAAAATAATCTCACGTCGAGTCAAATCGAGCAGTCAATCAAAAGCTATCCACGTTTTCCGCGGTTGCCAAGAACAGGAGGAAATGGCGAAAATCAGAAAGGGAAAAAAGTAAAAAAAATAGAAAAAAAAAAGGGAAAGAGAATCAAGGGATTACTCTATTGTCATGTATGGTCTGTTTCTTTTATTCAAGGTCGACTGAGACCAGAGACGATAGCTATTAGGGATGAAGACGAAAGAGAATTTCCATTCTTCCTCGTGATATGTTTCTATTGTTCCTGAAAAGTTGAATAATAACTGCTGTCTTGAAGCATCAAAAGTGAAGGCAGGATAAAAAGTATGCAGCAAAAAAGTTGGAACCAGTTGATGTTCTCACCGCCCGGTCCAGGGTGAAATGGAAGGGAAGGGAGAGATCGATATCAGTGCATCAGTGAATCAGCCCTTCACTGGCAGATGGTGACAGATGGCTAATCTGAGTAGAATCCCTTCCGATTCAGTCATAAAATGGTGGGATGAGAAGTTGTTTGTGCTGTTGACTGCTTCGAAACCAACGCGGGTATCCCCATTATAGGCATCAGCGAGCAATCCCCAATCATCCCCTCTTCACTTGTGCTCCTCAAAGCATTGTGTTCCTATCCTTTTCTCGACCATTCCAATCCTCATCCTCTAAGGGCTTATTTATTCTGGTCTCTCAGCGCCCCGCGCCTCTCAAATGTCTGGCAAAGTAACTTCTGAATGGATGGACGAAGTCCAACGCCAACCGGCCGATCTGCACACAATAACCCGCGTAAGCAAGGACTGCGACGTGTGCCAGCTCTCTCTGATATAGACGCAATTTCTTCCTCGTGCTCGCTTCTGTCACTGGAATTACCACTGGTGAGATGGACGTGAGGTATGTCCCCGAGGCAAAGGGGATGGAACGATCGAAGGGGGTGAATGATGAAATGGGACATGATGCACTTTTCATCGAGTATCATACCCAAGAAACCTAACTGAGCCTGACGCAGCACTGGAGTAATGCGCAAGAGGAGGTTGCCGGGCGCTGTCTAGGATGTATCCTCTCATCTCTCAATGTTCAGCTAACGCGTAGAAGTGCAGAGACTGCAGAGCACCACCGCTGGATGTTCATAGTGGGGATTGTGCATCCTGGTCCCTCAACCGAAGGATCCCAACCTGGGACTCCCTCGACTTCTGCAGAACTTGCTCGGCCGGGTCAGTATCAAGTACGACGGGAAACCAGCAAATTATGCGCATGTAAAATCAAATGAAACCTGATAAGATTAGTCGCGACAAGTGTTCCTCAGTTGTTTCCGTCTTCTTAAGCGATTCATTTGAAGTGGTGCGTTTTGAGGCGGGTAGTGATTGGACACTGTTGTCGCACTTTCAATTATGCATGGGCATTTGGAGCGGACTAAGTGGGAACGAACGCTTGCAGCGGAGGTCAAACCGTCATAGAGCTGAAGACTGATACGTAGTAGTACTCAATTTTTAACAACCAGAAGAGCGAATTCAGCCATTAAATCAGTGGCAAAAAAAAAAAAAAAAAATCATGAGTTATGCATGAGCGAGGAGAGCAAGGTATTTCAGCTGGATACAAGCGGAACTGTGTGTAGCTGCACATGAGCTGGGGTGGTGTTGAAACATGCCAGTTGGACATGAGAGCTTTCGGCCTTTAAGAGCCAGTCATTTCTTGACCTCTGCTATCCTAGAGCATGAGAAGCTCCTCGAGAACAAAAGGGAAGAGAAAGTGGTCGAATGGTAGATCGACAAGGGAAAGAGGAAATGGTGAAGTACGGAGTTAGTGATTGTGGTAGAAGAGAAGGATTAATGATCACTACTAGTGCTGATGGAAGAAGAGTCAGCCAGCTGTAATGTTACCTGGATATTAAAAGTACACGTATTACTAAGAAAAGATAGCCTGGTACCTAGGTCATAGGTACCTTAGCTGTCGACATATATTACAAACTATTTGGAGAAGGAATTAACCATAACATGCCATCCTGGATTGTGAGATGATGAATTAGATCCCCTATATGCTAGCAACTTAGTAGATTAGTAATATTAACTATAGTAGCATGTCATTAGTGAAGAACTGAAGATCTTCAATGCTGATGGATGTTTGGTAGTGGTACTTGTATGGGATAGATACCTGAGGTACCTATGTACGTAAGAAAATGATGTTACACCTGACTCCTGTGAAGGTACTATGACAAAGGCACATCTAGGTACCTACCTAGTCAGTATCTTACCTTGAGTCATAGCCAAGCACCTAAGGTAGATACCTAAAGTAGATACCTAGAAAGAGCATATTGACCTCTTCTTAAAGTTGCATGCTACCTAATCTGTACAGTTCTTTGTCTAGGTAACATCCATGGATCATTACCTACTGTACTTTACCGTACTTTACCATACTTTACCTGCTTCTTAGGTACCAGGTACTCCGTACTAGGACCTATGTTGGATGATTTGGATCTCATGGCTGCGCCACATACTAACCCATAACCTCAGCTCGATCTCAATGTACTGTTCATCTTAAGGACTGACTACACCGCGTCACACAGATCATCGGAGAAACAGCTTTCATGAATGTTATACTTCGACAATCGATGGCGAACCGGAAGAATGGAGTAACTCATTGACAAGAGGTCCATGCAGAATGCCCGAAACTGCCATGTTGAACTATCTATCTACACTCTGCCGGTTGATTCAAACCAGCGGGGCGTTGCCTCTCCTGCACGCCGCTGGTTCTCGTGCATAAAACTATCCTGTTATCGATCCAATGCGATGAGTCCCATGCTTGCTAAGATGCAAGTAATACGGATACGTCCTTTCTGATTTGATCACTCGAATTTCGTCGAGTCCATGGAAGAACAAATACGATGCATACTTACTCCGTCCTTGAACCTTTACGGAGTAGAAGAATTTCCATTAAGCAAGAATCGGAGCCGACATTGGATGGGTTGGTCATGCTACAGAGACTCTTACAATAATAATGATGCAGCACACTTACAATGTACAGGCATCAATGAAGGAAAGGCAGTGGCATCAAATTCCAGTTGCTATGACATGACAGCGTTTGACGAAGGTCTGACTCATTGTATCATCTCCTTGACCTTTCTCCTTCATCGAGATTTCTTTCCTTTTTTTTTTTTTTTTCCCTCTCATCTCATACCTTAGTATTGGTCGTTTTTCTTCATCTCCTTCTTCATTTGCCCGCTTATTCTGCTACTATTTTATTATGATTTGCGATAATCCCGCACCCTATATTTTATGCATGCTCCTAAGCTTGTTAACACAGTAACCAATGTGGGTCAGTGTATGAGTCTCACTCTTTCTGATTGATCGCAGGTTCCGATGGACTGCTGTGCTCGAATATCGGATCAATTCTTGCAATATGCCATCAATATCCATCATTCGTATCTATCCCAGCCTCCAGAATTACTATGTACTACTCCCGTCAAAAAAGTCTACCCCACTTCTGCTTCGAGCATCGTTTTCGATCCGTTCACTCCGCTTGTCTTCTGGCACGCTGATCTCTAGGTGGTGGTTTCCGCTATGCCATCGTCGCTTGTACATGGCGCAATCCTTAATTGAATCGACGCACAGCGCATACATTGTTTGCTTTCTTCGTCAGGTTCTGTTACAGCTACTAGATTATCACGGAGCACTCAACGGAACACAACATACTGTTATGGAGCGATGAGGTGCTGTCTGTCGGGATGGATCGACCGCGCTACCTCCTGCAGCTGGGAGCTAGCCCCCGAACATCGCTCCTCAAGCTTCCAGTCCTGAACAACCTATCGATTCTAGTCCGTTGACCCAATGTCTTGGGGCGCAATGTCCACCTATCAATCGTTGTCTAGCGTCCATGATACTCATGGCTGGAACGCGCTGCTCTCTTACTAAGTTACTAGAATCCTTTGCTCCAAGTCAGGGCACCTGCCTGGCTGATAATGGCACGGTTGAGGTTCCCCTCCGGATTTTCTTTCTATTTGACATGAATTTTTCTCATCCCAGTTGCTCTTCTTATTCATGGTTAAATTTTATTTCTTTCGTTTTCCTTCTACAGGCTTTTTGAGTTTTGTTCTCTTCCTCTTTGACTTTGCCGCCTCCGTGGTGCGGGAGTACAGCAGTAGGCTGAGGCTGCTGTTGCATCGCGCCTTCAATGCGGGTCTGGCTGGCCGTTTCTACCCCTGCTCTCCTCCTAAACCGTCCAGGTTCTTGTCGCCTTTTGATCGCTGTGCGTTCAAAGACTGGATGACTTTATACGTCTTTTTCCCGCGATCATCCTAGTCTCATGCGGAGGCAAGAAGCAGAGAGGCCACGTCTAGTGCGCTGCGCATTCATGTATTCAATGGCGTCGTCCTTTCCGCTCTTGCGACAGTTTAGACGCTTGGAATCATCTGAAACAATCGTTTCTGAAACACTATCCTTTTCTAGGTAGGGTATGGTTCAATTCTATCCACCCCCGGCTGGCTGGTCCCGCAAACATTAGATATGCTTTAATTTCGCTGGTCCGGGAAGTTCTCTTGGTCAATGGTCACTATCTATCTACCTACTGTGGCTCCATCTCGTCGCTTTCCAGAGGACAAGCACAGAGAAACTAGAAGAAAAAGAGTCCCTGCAGCTTCCCTTACTGCTAACCGGCCGCATGCTGGTGCATCTGCACTGTCTTTCTGCGCTGTCCCGAATGAAAAGTCCGTTTGGTCAGAAAATCTTCCCGGGGCAGAAATAAGTCAGATTGATTTATTTTTGTCTGCTTCCTACTATCTGATTGACTTTCTTTTCGTCCCATTCCCCCCCCCTTTTTCCCACTCTTTTACTTTTCCCTGTCATATTTCGTTATTCTCTGATTGAAACTACTCTTCCTTGGTACGACATGCATCATTGAGACTGTTTTGTTCCAGATATCCAGTCGATCGTCGGCCACGATAGGTCCTCTTGACGTCTCCTATCTATCTGGTGGCCACAACACGGTTCAACCCCATTGTGTTGCTTGTCGCTGTCGTTGTCGTTGCTGTCGTTATCGATCTTCCTTCTTTTATTTCTTGACCTTCATTTTCGACAGTTCCTTCCCCAAATCCAGCGAATTGGACCATTCTCGCTGCAAGTGGCAATATATCTACCATCCGCAGTTGCTGATCTGCCTTTTTCCTGAGGATCCCTCCATACATCCTTTGCTCCTTGCGTCCTTCAGCCGTCGCCTCATACATCGAGATCTATTCAGCCTATCAGCGGATGCGAGTCTGAACTTCATGCCTTCTATTCGAAGTCCGGCTCATGTCCATCCTCCGCTGTTCTTGATCTCCATCACCTTCAGCAGTTTCCTTTGTCGGCATTCGCTGCCCTCTTAGCCTAGTTCCCGATTTGGTTCTGGAGAATCCACGTGCTTGTCTGTACTTACGCCCCTGTAGACGCATTGTTCCGCTTGGGAGGCTTTGTGGTTGTTTCACTTCGATCAACTTCTAGATTGGTTTCCTGTTGATTTCCCCTTTTTTCTTTTTCTTTTTTTCTTTTTCTTTTTTTCTTTTTCTTTTTCGGGTTTGGTTTGCTGTTTCGCTCTCGATACCTTCGACCCCGTAGTTGCGCATCGCGTCATTTTCTAGGTTGGGCTCCACTTGTACAGAAGCAAACATCATCCTGGCTTCGTTTGTTGACGGATTGGGAGGGAAAGGAAGCCAGCTAGAATCGCTTCCATGATCTATGGGATATGTCGAATATATCAGAAAGGCCATGGACCGAAGAGGAGAGGGTAAGACAAGACCTCGCTCCATCATCAAGCATTCATCAAGTCTCTCCATGCAGTTTCCAATGTTCTCACATTCGGCCATACTGACTATGTGTCTAGTACACTCTACTTACTGAGATTCTCAAGAAGGCAGGAGTTCCTTCCAGCCATCTGGTCAAAATGATAAAAGATTTCCACATCATCCCAAGCTGGACGGATATTCCTCTTCCAACAGGTACAGATATGCCGGCCCTCTGCTTGTCTCGTGTTGTTTTTGTCTTTTGGGTGCGTACGTCTCATGTCGTATTTGCACTGAGTTGAGATTTTCGTCAAGATCAGAGTGGACAGTTCAGCCTGGCTTCTGCTAATCTACTCTGGTCCAGGCCGTTCCCTGAATTCCTGTCAACTGGCTTTTCACAATATGTGCCAAGAGCAGCAGCAACAACAGCAACAACAGCCACAGCCACAGATCTCTCTCCCTGTCAATCAGGGCTTGGTACCGTTTCCACCGCCCCGTCATGAGTTGTCTGCACCGCCAGCAGTTCCATCCGAGGGCAGTCACATTCGAAAGCGGCCGCTTTTTCTCTTAGACAAACCCGCTCTTGCCCCACGCGCTATCCAGCCTCGGCCAGCTGCCAGCACGGCCTCTTACAGCAGCGAGAGCAGCGCTTCTGCGCTCCTTTCCCCGGGGTTTGAAAGTATTACGGCCAAAGGCGAGCCGCCCCGGAAACGAGGCCGGCCAAGCAAAGCCGAAGCGGAGCGACGCAAAGCGGCTGCGGAGGCTCGAGGTGAAACCTACCCTCCTCCCCGGAGGTCGGGATCTCATAGGCTGAAAGCTCCTTCAACACCAGCCAGCCCGCCGGGAGTCATGTCTTCAAGCACTTCGTTCACACCTCAGGCGAGTGTCCGGTCCGTGGAAGCCCCGACTCCGGAGCTGCGCTATGCACCGCCGCCTGGGAGGCCAATCACGCTCATGGCACCTATCGACGATGGACGAGCGAGAGGAGTGCCGAGTCGTGACCCGGGACCGATACTGAGAGAGCTTCCAAGACCGATCGATCCACGGCAGACTCTACCTTCACCCCAAGCGTTACAACTGGGCCACAGAGAGCCGGTCGCGCGGATGGATCCTGGGGAGCGGCCATTTGAGCCTCGTCCTTCCGAGAGATTCTCCTTTGGAGACAGTAGTCGTCGGATCCTGACCGATCCTGCGAGCAGACGGCCAGAAGGACCCGCATTGTCTACTCCCGAAGTACCTGCTGCTACTTCAGCCGAAAGACGGCCCGAGTGACATCATCTGGCTAAAGAAGAAGTGCAGGAAGGTCTTGTTTCTCTTCTCCTCTTTCTGTTCCTTTCTCTTTCTTTATTGTAACCCTTTGTGTTTTCCTCCTCTCCCCTTCAAAAGCCATGATGGCTCACGATGAACGATATAAACTCGTCAATTTTGAGCGATAGATAGCATTGGTTCTCCCTCATCATGAAGCAGTTGAGAAGACGACTTGCGAAGAGAGCTACGACTAACGGCATATTCGATGCAATCTTTGCTTCTTTCTTTACCAATCCCTGTGTTGTGTTGTTTTCTTTTTTCTTTCACGCGGGATGGCTCTTTGACGAATCCTGATTGCTCAGGATCGGCAATCGCCCTCAAACCAGCAAGTTGATACGTCCACGCGTCGAGCAGCCGAAGGACACAGGTCCCATCACTTTCTCTGACAGATGTTCTTTGACTTGTCTAACTCCGACGAATGCATATGCGCACCACGATACTCATTGTCTCACGCAGCAAAAAGTCAAGCCTCGGTCTCTGCCTTGAACATACTTTGTTTCATTCGAAATCCGTACTATTCTACGTGGCCATGTTGAACGCGTCAAGTCCGTATGACATCGACATTCCTTTCCTCGCCTGCGATCTTTATTGCATATCTCATTTCCCTCTATAGCCTCTCCCATTTCCATTCAAAGCTTGACATCTACGATCAGTCATTTTACGACTACGGCTGCATATTGCCACCATTTCTCATCATCTTCTTCATTGCCTTATCATCATTTCTCTCTTTCCTCCAATGTTTTTGCTCTTCGTGGGAGGTCTTATGTGCTCACTTGGATGGGTTTTAATGCCCTTGTATGTATAATAACTAATGTCAACATCGCAGACACATTCGCCTGTCTTATGTCGAACTATGTCCTTTTGAGCGGTCGCTATATTGTCCAGAGACAGACTTTTCCCAATTAAGCTGGTAAAACTACTCATGTGAAGACTCCGTGTAGACCATAGAGGTAGATAGCTACATGTTATGTGTCCGACAATAGATCTATTCATCTCAACACAAATAGTAGGCGTAGGAGAATATAGTGGAGCACCACACGGAAGGACAATCTTCCGATTCACTCGGCTTCATTCAAAATTCTCAAGGACTGTGGTTGCCCCTGACACGACCCAAGAGGTTCATCAACTTGGTCTTGGAATTTTCCGGCGTCGACGTCAACGAGATTCCCGTAGCTGTCGATTTAGTCGCAGCGAGTGGCGACGTTTCAGGCTCGTTATCTGACGTGGTAACACGTGAAGACAGTCCTCCTTGAGCATCGTCCCCCTTCGCATCTAGCTTGAGCTGGTCATCCAGCTGGGTTTTTATCATGCTCACCGCAGAGCGCAGGCTGGACGGCGGCGTAATCTTCTCACCAATAACCGCATCTGCTTCGCAAGCGGCAGTTTGGTGGTTCGTCCTAAGAGATCCGTGTTCGACAAGTCTTAACACCTCGTCTTTACCTTCAACACGGCGAGTCAAGTACACTTTGGGTAGAGTACCTTGACGAGCCAGAGTGCGTTTACGGATTCGATCGATCTCCTGTCGATACGCTGTTTCATAAATGTCGAATTCAGCAGCACCTGGTGACTCGCTCACTATAGGGATAGCCGCATTCCCAGCTAGACTCGTCTCTAGGGGCTCGTCTGACAGCAGAGTGTCCGATTGGTCGCGGTTGCGCTCCATGTCAGTATCATGACCTTCTTCCAGATCCGACCCAGTGTAGGTAGAAGGACCGATGAAGAGGTATGGAAATTCCTCTTCCAAAGGATCCCGTGCGTGCCCTCGGGTACCCTCGACGCTACGCTTCGTTGTAGCCGAACTGGCCCGCGACAGCGGTATCTGTGGGGAAGGGGACTGAGGAGAGAAAGTCGCCTGTAGATCGTCGATCGAGTCGGTCCGAAGTTTGTAGCTGCAGACAGAGCCTGAATCTTGTCTCTCTGGTGTAATGCCCATAGAATGTTTGGTTGAGCTGCCTAGCACAGGGTCTTGTTGGGCAATATACATGCTAGCTGAACCACTAATTTCAGGTGATTCCTCGCGCTGTTGATGATAGCCTTTCAGAACGTTCTCACGTTCCCAGGGCTTTCTATTGTATGAAGTTACGCTCTGGCTTTTGTTAGCCATGAGAATGTTGCCGGCCGAGAAGCTCTCTTCCGGGTCCATCTCGAGCGGCGGCTCGACGAAATGGCTCTCATACTCCTGGCCAAGGATACTTTGCATCACCGGCTCGGCTTTAGCTGGACCTAGAAGCCGTTTGAAGTGTTTCACAGCTTTCATCTGTAGCTTCATGTCAGTTGATTCCGTGAGGAAGATAGAGTAGCGTCAGGGCACAAAGGCATACCACAGCCATAATGTGGCCCACATTCCTTGTTATAGCGGTATTCATTTCCTCCTCAGTTGGAGCCTCCACTATCTGCGCAATATTCTCCTCTTCGGGTAAGAGAAGGTCGGAACCGTTTCTTGTCACCCAAGGATGCGCCTGGACTATTCCATGAGATACGTGTTGCTGTTGATATACAGCAGGAAACAACTCACTCGCAACTCTCTCATTGTGATCCTTTTGCTCGGATCCTTCTCCAGGATCCGCAACATCAAGTCTTTGAAGTTATCGTCCGTTTCCCCTTCACATACCACGGGATCGTTCTTGATGGCTTCATAGAGTTCGAAAATGCTTTGCTTCTCAAATGGCAGCCTACCGTAGCGAAGACAGTAGAGAGTAACACCCATAGACCAAATGTCTGCTGCTCTTCCCGAGACATCGCCATGCTTTACCACGCATAGCTCCGGCGGAAGAAAGGCAGGCGAGCCAGCTGATTTGGCTGTGAACATATCCGAATCCTTCTCAAACATTTCGGACACCCCAAAATCAACAACCTTGAGAACGTCATCATTCGTCAATAAACAGTTGTCTGGTTTGATATCTCGATGCACGATACCCTGGCCATGTAAATATTCAATTCCCAAAATCAAGTCGCGGAACCAGCAGCGACACTGTTCATCGCTGTAAGGATCGGCCCTTTCTTCCAGTCCAACCTTCATGATCACGCCCTTTTTACACATTTCCATGACCATATACAGGGAGTCCTCTGTGGGGTCATCTAAAACTTCAATCAAAGACACCAGATTGTTGTGGTTCAACTTCTTCATGATGGCGATCTCTTCCTTGATGAGATAAAGCGGGTTCTTGGTGTGCTCGTCCCCATTCCCCGACGGATGGCGATGTAGAGGAGAGTTGAAGCCAGCCGAAGGCCTTTTGAGTCCTCTAGGTCGGCGGAGAAGATGTGATTGGGCGCGTTTCCTCAGTCGTGATTTAGAGAACTCTTTGACGGCCTGTGGAAATACACATCTCATCAGCATAGCGTCCATCTCACATACGGCGAACCCGCCCACGCATCAAAATGACAGCAGCCTTACAAATTCATTTCCATATTGATCTATTGCGAGGTGAACAGCACCGAATGATCCTCTGCCAATCTCCTGCTTTATGACATATTGATTGATCCTATGTTCGGCGGTCCCATCATCTTGGCTCGTGGTATACTCGGAGCGAGCATTGAGAGTTTCCTGCCTCCAACTGAATTAGTCAAATCGCACGCAGCGAGATAGTGATCGAATGATAATAACCTTCACTGGACGTCGGACTTTCGGATTTCGGCGATAGTGCCTCTGGGGGCTTTCATAGGAAGGTGTGGAGCTAATCTCAGGATCTATTCAGCAATGAACACATGCAAATTGAATGAGGAGATATGCAAGGTAACCGAGCTTCGTGACATCTAAGAATGATTGACGAAGCTGAGAGGAGTATATAGTTCGACTCACGCGTAACGGCTAGGCTTGGGTTTGGGACGTTCTTTCATGGCGTTGAGAATAGCATCGTGCTTGGGCTCAGCATTTCCGTCGGCCATCGAATGAACCTCAAACAGTTCCAAAGTCAATGGAATGAGAATAAATTATGTCTTGCAGAAATTTGTATTCTTTCAAGGATGAAAAAGCCGAGTCTTGTTGCACTGATAATAAACCTGGATGCCTAAGCCGAATGTGGGGAATATCGGGGAACAGTCAAAGTTCCGATAACAGATCAACAGTGACTGAAACGAGAGTAGCTAAGTGCCAACGCAAGAAGAAAAGTGGGCAAATTGCTAAATATCGCCCATCAGACTATTTTCTTCCACAGTAAATGTGATGATATTATTTGAGTGGGATGAGGGGAGCGAAAGGGGGGTAAGAGTGGTGAGTTGACACCACTTGGAGAGAGGGGAAGTGGCTTCTCACCGCCCACGAGCATTCTTGTCTCGACGAGCCTAATTGAACCGCTCTTAATTGTTCTCGTCATCATCGTTGTTGGCTTAATCATAAAATCCACGGCTTGAGGTCTACTGTATCTGGCGTCTTGCTCTCTCGGTGTCTGGGTCATTCTTTCTCGACATTCATCTGGTGAAATGGTCGTCTATTCGTTCTATATCTTCGACCGCCACGGTAATGATCTCCCTTTTCTGTTGTAAACAAACACAATGGCTGATCTGTCCCTTTGCACCCTTCTAGCCGAGTGCATCTATAAGAGGCGATGGCTTCCCCGTCCGGCCTCAATGGTCAGTAAATCGTCGCGACCGACTTCTGAAGTCGCTACTCAGAATGGTGTCCCCTCTGTTTTTGGCCAATCTGCGCGGACCACCGACGACGATGCGAAGCTCATTTTCGGTACTGTTTTTTCCCTTCGAAACATGGTACGCAAGTTGGGAGGTGAGGATGACAGGTGAGAGGAAACAGAGCCATTGAGCTGCTTCTATCACATCCTGGATTTATAATTAACGAATACTTGCGCACCTAGCTTCGTCACTTATCGCACCAGCCAATACAAGCTTCATTACTACGAAACTCCCACAAATATCAAGTTTGTCATGCTCACAGATGTCAAGAGCCCGAGCATGCGAGTTGCTTTACAGCAGATTTATATCAACCTCTATGTCGAGTATGGTACGTGATTTGTGCTCAGCATCAATATTGTCCTAACTAGTTCTGACGATTTGATCATTATTAGTGGTCAAAAATCCGCTGTCACCCGTCGAACATCCGGGAGGTGTGGGTGTGAATAATGAATTGTTCGAAGAGTCTCTCGAGCAATTTGTGGTAAGTACTGTCAACCTTAGTTATTGAACAGATGCGAGGCTCCTATATTCTCTTTGAAACGTTGTCTTACCTATCTATAGACCCGAGTTCTATCCTAGAGGCCGGGACCCGATGGAAAGACCAGCACATATCCTTATACGTAACCCTTTTTTGATGCTGGAACGCCCGTGCCCATCATTGAACTTGATCAGAGCTACCGACTGTCTTTCTTTTACTCTCACGGACCGGAATATCCGATCATGCATCAACCGCTTTGGCAGGCACACATGAAATACCAAGCTGGGGACTGCCAATTTCTTCTCTGCGATCGAAGATGCCCCTTGAAATACCAATTCACAACTTGCCGAGCATAAGGAAGCCCAGGCAGACAGGAACCTTTCTCTTCCATGTGCTATCATCAAACCAGCTGTGCGCTCAACCATCATCACTACCGGCTGAGGGGCCGCACACAAAGTTCGAGCCGATAGTCGGTGCTTCACCTGCTGCGGCGACAACCCACACCCTTCTCGTGGTCGATCTGACGTTATGTTTGATACCTGGTGATGCATGCACTTTTCGACCGCCTTGTGTCTTTCCAGCATCCGCGATATCAGATTTAAAGGGTATTCTGAAACTCGTCGCGCGTCCAATTATTCACTATTGCTCCCTACGCAATAGTCATAAATTGTGGTTCAATGATAATTGCCCACGCCAATTCATCCGAAGAACAGTCCTTCCGGTCATTCCGATGCCGTCTCAGAATAGTGTATAGCGGCGACATGATGATTTCGGACAAGGCATGGGACCTGTCGAGAGAGACCATACAAAGCCAAGGTAGAAGTGCTAGGGCTCACGCAGGTGAACCAAGGAATCATGAGCACGTTATTAAAATGTTGTTGAGAAGGGATTTGTTAGTCACAACTCGCTCAGGGGAGTGGATAATCCCCCGCAGGTTGAATCTCTATTCTTACTTGCAAGAAAAGAGAAATAAGGAGCATGCATCTTGCAAAACCAAACGACAACTCATCGTTGTGAAACAGCCCGTCTATCTTTAAGATCAGCAAGATACAGTTCCTCTGTACATGCTGATAGGTTCTGATAATCCCTCATAGCAATAGTGGCCTTGTTGGGATCAGCGAAAATTGAGAGTGCAAGTGCATCTGCAGCCATCCCGGGAGGGGTATCCCACATTAGCGACTGCACCAGCTGTCTTGTTTTATCTCAAGACTCGTATATCTATAAGCAGCAGGCTCTATAAAGCAGAGCATCCATTATTTACGATTGGCGCTCATAATTCGCTCATCCGCCAATGGCGTACGCTACATAGGAACCTGTGGATGATATTGATTGATAAAAATGACTCGAGTATATCCGTAAGCTCGTCTGACAGGCCACTGGAGCTGAGATATGCTTGACGACATTCCTGTTGGGAATATCAATATCAATCTACCTGTCCACACTCTACACTTTACAGTATGCAGTATGCACGCGGCAGACCTGCAAGTTGCTCGGCAAAACAGTACATTTTGGGGATAATGGATCCGACTTGTTTCCCTTCGTGTCCATACTGGTTCAAGTCCAACTGCTACTGTACCTTTGATACCGTCATACTACCTTACTACCTAGGTACCGATATGGCAGTATGGCTGATACCTAGGTAATCCTGGTTCTCCACCCACCATCCAAATCCGGGGCTAGCCTAACCAGGTTAAGATTCTTCGGGAAGGCCAAAAATGAAATTGGAGCAATGGAAGCTTGTTAGGTATTATTGTGAAAATTACATTCAAAACAGTAAGTAATTTGTGAAAGATGAAATTTATCAAGTTAGAAAGATACTTGGGTACACACTGGACGGCTAAGGTATGGAGTACCTAGGTATGTACCTAGGTACCTACTGAGGCACTGTTTCATTTTCATGATACAGAGTAATAATACCAGCCAACAAAGGCACAGTGAATGGTAAGGTACCTTACCTTATGGGACGATGAAAGTGGCTTGATCCAGGGTTCCCTTGGTGATTTTTTTGTAGTCACTCTGTGTCCCCAGATTTTAGTAGTATGGTTCTTGATTTACTCTGTACCACAGGGTTAGCCATGGAGGGGACTTACAGACTCATAATTACACAATCTTGGGGAAGCAGGGGCACCTAAGGATGAGGTAATTACAAGGACGAATGATTAAGGGGTTAAGTTGAAAGTTCAGTCCACTAAACAGGTTTCAGCCTTTAACATAGATATGTACAACCCACAAACGCTTAATTCTGCAGTCTTGAAATTATGGTGGCGGTGGCTGTGGCTTATAGGTACTTTGTGATTATAACTTCTGTATGGAATACAGAGTACTCCGTAAGGTAGTTGACAGCACAACAATAAGGTAACCACATGGCAATAATAAGACGTTATCTTTTATTAAACTTTTCCTAGATATTTGCATCTGCAGGTAGCTCGAACAGGAAAAGCACATGGTTCCCATTCATTATTGTCTCTTTCTAAAAAATGTTGCGATATTGATACTGTTTGGACGAAACGGGCTGATGAGTACCTATGAAGAAAGTTCATTATCGCGAGTCTCTCGACAAGATGTACTTAATCATACACTTGCCATACCCTTCCACAGGCGGAGCTGAGTTATTCTCATCCCACTCAGTGCTACCTGCTGTTGCTGCAACATCCATGATTCATCTGCCTGGAGTAGGGGTCAACAATAGTAGGGGAGCCAGGCAGTTACCTGTCAGGCCTAGGTATGTGGAAACTCGTGGACTTTGTTCTTGAGATCCCGGCATGGGAAGCCAGGAAATGCCACACTGATCCCGGCTCAACCTTCTGTAGCTGTTCAATGCACCAGAGCTGACTCTGACCCCTGGACAGTTTGTTCGACGGAGGTTCATGGAGGAGCCAGGTCCTAGCATCCCCATTCTACTTCCGAGTCTCAACCACGCCATGTTTCTTCTCTCCGAAGCTACTATTGCCCCAAGTTGTGGCCTAACAAAGCAGCAGAAAATCTTGGAGTATGCATACTAGCTCACTCATTATAGAGGCAAGAAGTACTCGTTAATGAAGAGACGACTCCACAATTTTCTTTTGAGCTCAGACGGACTTCACGCAAGTTCTGAGAAAGAGAATGAAGTTTTTTGCAGCATTGCCATGTTGCATGGGATGTATAACTAGAAGCAATCCGACGTCAGCATTCAACAAATCGCTTCAAGTCTCGACAGGTCCCTTGGCCTTAATGCGGCTACTATCATTCCTTTTTGTTGAACGGTGCGATCAATGTCCCTGGCAGCAAGTAGCATTCCAAGATTTCAGCACATACTTCGTGAAAGTATCGCTACTGGACGCTCTGTGGCATCTAGCAAGATGGATTAGATGCAAATACATAGGTATTTGCCGGTCATCGATGGCTTTCCTGTCCTCTGGTATTACATTGAACACATCGAATCTTCAGTTGACAGAATCCTGCTCTGCCATTTAGTCAGTCAACTTGGAGCTAGTTTTGTTCGTCGCTCACTGATAAATCCAGATAATTCAGTTGCACAGATGTCTCCTAATGTTGCGGACATTCTCCCTTACGTCAAGGGCGTTTCTTTTCTTCTTTTGAGCAATACGCCAACATTCCTTTTACATCTACCGAGTCTTGAGATAAGCCGAATATTGGAGGGGTCCTAGGCTTATCCAGTGGCCAAAATGATTCTCCAAGCACATAGTCAAATTGCAAACAAGATAGTAATCTGGAAGACCATCCCAGATGAGCTGACTACAGGTTCCCCCTCCCACTCTAGTGGCTCTCCCTTTTAGCATGGCACAATTTGCAGTTGTCATCCAACACACTTACCCAACTTTCAAACCTCATCTCAATATATACTGGCGTCAAACTGGTGCGATTAGATTAGTTCATCCCACTCGTTCTGATTGGCCCTGGAAAATCCCTCGTTTTATCCTGCTCGTTCCGAGCGGTCACCATCTCAATGTTTTAGTCACAAAATAAAGGTTGGCCATACTGTAAAAACTTCTCTAATGATAGTTTGCATCAACAGGGGCTCAGAATTTCATCTCTTTATGAAAGAGTTTATTCAATTATGAAAGTTCGCAACTGGCATGTCTGACGTCTCTTACTTGTAGTTAAGTTGTGAGGGTAGTTTAGTGTTCATAGCAGCGATAGGAGTCACCCGAGGTACACCAAGTTTTCAACAACATCCCTGCAGAGAGACCTTATAACTCTTATGCCGATGCCATATGCGAGATAGGGAAATCTCCTTTTCACAAAGCTAAAAAGGCTGCGGTTACACCGTAGTAGGCTTACAGCTTGGTGATGTGCCAAGAAGGCAGCATGTCTTGGATAGCTGCCAGGTGTTGGGAAGTGAAAAAGCGCAGTGATTGCAGGATGGCCTGAGGGTCCATCTTGCCAAGTTGCCAGAGCTTGACGATTGCTTAATGCTCGAGGATACAAGCGGCAACTGGCTCTTCTCTGAGCCGTCTATTGGGTCGATTGTTTCAGCGTAAGGCATAACAATAATGTGCGAAGTATCTGGTTACTACTCCGTACTCCGTACAATAATATCATTTCTTCTGCCGTCTCATCCCATTTTAATACTGGTAGATAGCTGCTGAGGGCTGACCCCGCGCGGCCAAGATCCTCGCAGCGCAACCAAAACGAGAGACATGCATGATTGAAAGGACTGGAGGAGGTGATGACGGATATTCTAGGTTTACTTGTATACGGATCGCTCATGATCAGATCACGAAGTCATGTACACGAGAATATGGGCTCCTTGGGCGCTGTTGATCAAAACTCTCTTTGACTTCAAGAACAGCCAGAGGAAAGAGCTGTCAATCAGTGCTGAGACCTATTGGCTGGTTATTTCACCACTGATGCAAGTCTAGGAGCTAATTTCGCGGGGAAATTCCAATGATCTGTCGGTTCTTGCTTGACTAGATAAATACTAGGAGTAGCTACTCCCTAGCTTACCTTGCAATTTGCGTAGGCTTGCATTACGGAACAAAGGCCTTCGTGGAGAATGTTTCCAAATCTCCTTGCGAATGGGACAGCTGTTCACTCGTCCAAGATCCATACCCCATCCAGTTGTCAATGAGACCGATGGCCCCCGTTGATTTAGGTTGACCCTGGCCTTGTAATCATGCAAGATTGAGTGGCAGCGGAGACCGCGGAGACCATGCGGAAGCAAAGCATTTGTGCAAAATAATCAGACCAGATGCGGGAAGGTTGTTTAGAATCATCCGATGTGGGAAAAAAAAAAATGTACGGCAATCGGTTTGTCGGCCTGACAATGCTTGATGATAATGGTACTTGACTGTATCACTACTTTGACTGTCGGGTGGTCCTCCGCAACGAGTCGATCATCTACCTCCTATACAATGGGAAGCCATTGGATATTTGCCAGGAAGAGTGGAAATCAGATATCTTTACAGTTTTACCCTCATGTGTCTTGACTTTTCCGGAGAAATCGGACTTTTAGGTGATGTTAGTGGAGAAAGCAAAGCTTTCGAGACTGTCCAAGAGGGGAGAGTCACCCGCCACAGTTTACTAGCTGGTGATACTACTAATTGACACTTGAAAACACCTAATGATCGAATTGTCCTAGAGCAGAGCCACTCAAGCCATCGGCTCCTGTTGGTGATGTGTGGGGTCAATTGATAATAAGGTATGATCGAATCACATATGCATGATCGAGGAGAATGCACAGCCTCAATTTTGTTGACTGATATTGACTCTTTCCGGTAAGGACAACGTCACCTCGAAGCATTATCATTACCGTGTGAGATCAAGCGATGATCAGCATTCCGGCACCAAGCCAATGGACTGATTGAGATTGAGAAACGAGCGTCATCCTACTGACTTTCACAAGAGGAAGGAGAAGCATGCTTGATGATGTTTTACCATACTCACTGCATCGCTGCCATCGGTAAGTTTAGAGACAGCTAGGTTGTGGTGGTGTTGTTTGTCAATCGGTCCATCTATTATTGCTATTACACCAGGTATGTTTTTGTGGCCATTTGCTAGAGGTACCTAAGGTAGAAGACAGCCAACCTAAAAGTAATAATAATAGATGAATAATTCTGAGTCCCTTTCATGTTGACATTCATGGCCGCGGTCGCACACCAGTTCCGATTCATTCCAAGACTTTTTTGAGGGTGGGGAGGTTGTGGAAATAGCATATTGTCAGGTATTGGTAATCATGCACTTCTGCGCCACTTTTCATATATGACCTTAATAATACTATGCATTTCAGACTTGAGATACTGGCCGCCAGCTCCGATTAGTTCAGTATATTTCTATGCCATTCGGAGTCTAATATGTCATCTATGTCATCTGCTAAGTCTTGACTGTACAATGACTAAAATCAGTACATACCTGTCCACACCTGATGATGATTATCATGTTGTGGTGGGTGTGCCACCATTAATAATAGCTATGGCTTTAACAGTTGATGGTACCGAGGTAATATCATCCCATCTATCCAAACATGTACTTAAGGTTATTGTCCGGTATCATATTTATGATACAAAATCATCAGGATTACACATCGCCCAGGTAAGGTACCTACCCACCTGCCTACCTACGACAGGCATGAAACCTACCTGGCCTTCAAGCACTGCGGAAGGCAAACAGAGCTGGCACCGGAACCTGGGTCAGTACTCAGTCCGGTAGGTACTCCCGTACTGTCGGGTACCTTAGGTTATACCCCCGTAATTTTGCTTCGTAATGGGGAATCAATTTCAGCTGGATTTCGATTGCTTACAGATGTTGCGAGTTTGCCTCCATCCTGTCCAAGTCTAACTGCAGGTAGTACAGCGTGTAGAAACTGGACTTTGATCTGTCCAAATTCCCTCAAAGATAAAAATGAAGATGATAGACGGTCAATCGAATCATAAAGGAGGATTTTCAAGCGAAATTGGTACTGGCTGTTTCCTGCTGGAGACTTCCATTCACCCACCTCTTACTGCGACGTAGTACCGCCAACCACAGTACAAACTGCTGCTGTACTATTTCAACCTCTCCTCCCCGTAGGCAACGCTATTCCATCTTCCCCTGTGTAATTTTGCTACACTGTCTTCTTTCTCCTTTAATTTTGCAAGGCCACACACTCAAATATATCTACAGAGTCATTTTGTTTTATCATTGTCTCATCGAGGCATTTCGTGCCTAGTCGCGCGGTGCCTGTCTCCTTTTTCCTTTTTCCATTTCTCCTCTTTTTGTTTCCCACCCTGTTTCTGGAGGTTCTTTGTGTCGAACTCGCCCGTCCTCCACTTCAAAAAGTCACTTTCGTCACCTTTCCGTTTCTTACACTTTCTCGGTAGACCGTCGCCTCAGGCCACCACAGGGCCACCGCACTTTTTTTTCCCTCGCGCGCGCCCCCCTCTCTTCCCTCCTTCTCTACTCTCTCCCTTACATTCAAATCTCATATCTTCCAAAGTTTTGAACTTTGGCATCTTCAGCTTCGTGCTGTAGGCGCTTGTCCTCCCACTCGCAACGGGGGCGACTTTTGTTCCTATTGTCCTCCGTACGCACATAGCCACTCCGTTCACCGCACATGACTCCGCAATCTGTTTCACCTGTACCTTCCGCAGTCTCATCCGCCGCAGCATCACAAATTTCGAATGACCCTCGAGATGGAGAGTCTCAGGTAACAGGAGCTTTAGCGGGCATGAATCTGTCCGCCGCGAATGGGGATGTACTCCCCGTGCATCCCCAGCCCGCAAAGGCCACAAGATCTACCATGGCAAATCGCCTCACCCGCATGTTCTCAAATACTGGGAAGTCGTCCTCAAAAGAACCTAAAGAAAGCAGAGAGCCAGATTCCGCTCGAGATTCCTCAGATAGCAGTACGGAAAGCATAAAGGCTCCTACAAATGGCAGTGCAGCGCCATCTAGACCCACATCAAGACCTTCATCTCGGGCTCCCTCGCGACAGACGTCGACGAAAGGTGATACCGAAAAAGAAAAGAAAGTGAAGCCTGCAAATGGAAAGGACCAAAGGGAAGGTTCTATCGTACACAAGCGATTTGAGGTGTTTCCAGATGGAACACACTGTCACCATCTCAAGAGTGCAAGACGGCAGGAGAAGCTGACCGATCTTTTGCGAGACATGCTGGGTGGTGGTAGCAGAAGGAAGGACGACCACGTGGATGACCAACAACTGTCACTGATGTCTACTTGGATCGACCAATTCAAGACTGAGCGTGACAAACTGGCCGCCGACAAGAAGGGGGGCCCTAACGCCACGGCCTCTCTCGTTGATAAATATGGCAAATGTCAGGAGATTGTTGGACGTGGCGCCTTCGGTATTGTCCGGATCTCTCACAAAGTGGACCCGAGGGACTCCAGAGTTGAGCAGCTCTATGCTGTCAAAGAATTCCGCCGTCGCCCGCAGGAGACCGCCAAGAAATATCAGAAACGATTGACCTCCGAATTCTGCATTTCCTCGTCCCTCCGCCACCCTAACGTTATTCACACCCTCGATCTATTACAGGACGCCAAAGGCGACTATTGTGAGGTCATGGAATACTGTGCCGGCGGAGATCTCTACACACTCGTGTTGGCCGCTGGCAAACTGGAAGTTGCCGAGGCCGATTGTTTGTTCAAACAGCTCATGCGTGGTGTAGAATACATGCACGAAATGGGTGTTGCTCACCGTGACCTCAAACCGGAGAACCTTCTCCTGACCACTCACGGGGCACTCAAGATTACAGATTTTGGGAATGGCGAGTGTTTCCGTATGGCGTGGGAGAAGGAAGCGCACATGACGGCGGGTCTCTGCGGCTCTGCTCCATACATTGCGCCCGAGGAATACGTGGAAAAGGAATTCGATCCAAGGGCTGTTGATGTCTGGGCTACAGGTGTCATCTACATGGCTATGAGGACAGGAAGGCATCTATGGAGGGTTGCCCGCAAGGATGAGGATGAATTTTACCAGCGTTATCTGGAAGGCCGCAAGCACGAGGATGGTTATGCTCCTATTGAAACTCTGCATCGGGTAAGAGCTCATCAAGGTTGCCTCACAGGGTCTCCTAAGCTTACAGTTCCTCAGGCCCGTTGTCGCAATGTGATCTACTCCATCCTTGACCCCAATCCTTCTCGCCGTATCAACGCCTCACAGGTTCTCAAATCTGAGTGGGTCCGCGAGATTAAGCTGTGTAAGGCTGGTGAGGAAGGGTTCTGATTATGCTTGGCATGTTATCTGATCCTTGCGGGTCAAATGGCGGGTTTTCGCACATCTGGGGAGGTATTGTCTAAGCCATCTTACGTGGTATTTGCCTGGGCTTGTCCTCCCTTCGCAAATCTGCCTCACCGTTGCCTCCTGTGTCCCATATGAAAAACAGGGTGGTTCATGTCTTACCCATTCCAGGCGGCTGTCCTCCTTTGACTAGTTCTGTAGAAGGAGGCATCTTTGTTTTACTTCCAGGCGCATATATTTGTGTTGCTCTTTTCCTTGCTACTAGCTTGTGGGCTTAGTTTCATCGTCATGAATTGATGCCAATGCAACGAACAGTCATGACCATCGGGCTTATCATTTCGTTCTTCAGTGCTCTTTCTTCTCTACTGAAGGGCTCTACTTCCGGCTCCTACAAAGTTTAATGATTTCCTCATGTCAACTTCGCTACTGCCGCGCTTGTTCTACCTCTTGATTTGGCTGACGAAGCATTCTACAGGCTGACTTCATCTCTTCTGTCTTCTTTCATTCTTTCGTCCCTTGCACAACTTTTTTCTTTCCTCTTCTAGCGCCTTTTATATCTCTTTTTCTTTCCCGAGGTATTATGACTCGAAGTTTTTTCAGGGTTCTTTCATGGACTCAGCGGGTGTTACGCGTGCATTGTTCTTCACCTGGCTTACCGGCATTTCGGTTACGGGACGCGGTTCGGCGCTTTCATATTCTTCATGCCCGATTTTCCAACAGATCTGTATCTATATAATGAGTTATGCTGAGAGGGTGGCTGATTAAGTAGGACTTCTTTACGCACAGCCGTTCATGTACACTATGTCATCGTGGTCTCTATTCTGATAGAATGAACGCCGCAAAGCAAGTGAGAAATAGGCAATTGTCCTTTTTCATGCATCAATCCATATCCATCGTCTGTCTATCTGTGCTCAACCATATGACTTGACATCATGCCATTTTGGAAGGCATATTTGGACGGTATATCATGGTTTCCTACACCTCATGCAGGAGCGTCTGCATGTGCCATGGTACAGAGAAAGCAAAGCTGGGTGATATAGAATTGATCATAGGTTCTTGAACGGTCTCCAATAGATTGCGCTGTGCTAATCGCCTACTCCGTTACAGGCTGCCCATATGTACTCTGTACCATTTCATTGAACGCATTATTACAGGAGACTGGAACCTTTAGCTGTTGCTAGTACCTTAGGTTAGCCAGTTATTTTCGACCATCTTCATGCAGTGTTCCATATCGAGTCCGACGTTCAAGTTGACATCATCTTCAAATCGTCGATTGTGAGGCTTCCTCTCTGATGACATGACGTACGCGGGAAATTCGTCCAGTACCTTACTGTTCCCAAACCGTCGGATCCGTTACTGATAGAAACCGCCATGAAGTAATTTTACCACATATACTCCGTACGTAGGTACCTTAGGCATCCGTATTTTGTCAGGTAACAAATACCATACCCACAGCCACACACAGCCACCTGGAATCATCCCGAAGCCCATCATCATCGTCCCGCATTTGGGCATCTTATCCAGATCCAGCCCTGCGACGATAGACCTTCGCTGTAAACACTGTGCAATCCTAATATCGGCACTCGAACTCTTACCATTTTTCTTTCGCTTTCAACAAACACTCTTTGCGAAACCTATTTCTCTCTATTCGAAACTCCTTACTCGATTCTCTGCACTCGCTCGCTTCCAGCTCCCCCATTTCTGCCTACAGCCGCCATCATGTCTTGGGCAGGTTCGCGATTCAATTTCTCTTCGAGTGGTTCTTTGCTCAACACACACTAACATCGGTACGTTGCTATGTAGGATTCAAGAAAAATGTCAACCGCGCGACAACGCAGGTGATGATGAAAACAGGTATGATTCCCCGCAACTGTGCGATATAGGCTGCAAAGCTCCCGCAGAGAACAAAGCGTGGTGGTAAATTACATGGACTTATAACCGCCATACAGGACATGTCGAGAGAACGAATGACCGGGACTATGAAATCGAGGAGCGGTATGAGCTTTGTGGATATGCATGTTTGAAATCAGCCACTGATCGAAATTTCGGTTTCCAGACGATATCGGACCATGGAGGCTGCGGCAAATCGACTGCAGAAGGAGGCAAAGGGATATCTGGATTCGTTACGAGGTGTGTCTCAACGATTCGAAAACACTACCGTTCATATGGCGGGGCATTGTGCTGACCGAGACACGCTCGCAAGCTATGACGGCTTCTCAAATGCGCATTGCGGAGACGATTGATGCATTTTACGGCGAGGCCGGTACTCGGGATGGTGTGAGTAGAAGCTACAAGCAAGCTGTGGAGGACTTGGACGCCGAGACGATCAAAGCATTGGATGGGCCGTACAGGTACGACTGTGGATGATTATACTTGCTGCAGGTAAACACTGACGATCGTTAATCCGCTTGACAGAGCAACCGTACTCGACCCCATTTCGCGCTTCTGTGCGTACTTCCCCGATATCAACGAGTGCATCAAGAAGCGGAACCACAAGTTGCTGGACTACGACGCTATGCGAGCGAAAGTGAAGAAGTTGGTCGAGAAGCCAGACAAGGATGCCACCAAGCTGCCCCGGGCGGAGAAGGAGACCGAGATGGCCAAGCAAGCATACGAGCAGCTTAATGAACAGCTGTTCACGGAACTTCCACAGCTCATCGATCTGCGTGTGCCGTATTTGGACCCCAGTTTCGAAGCCTTGGTCAAGATTCAACTACGTTTTTGCGCCGAAGCATATTCGCGCATGGCTCAGGTGCAGCAATATCTCGACGCTGAGACAAGAGATCAATACGCCCGCGGCGATTTGGATAACAGGGTAGAAGAAGTTCTGCAAGAGATCCGGGACCTGAGTATAGCGGGAACTGTATGATGCGTTATATCGTCGGGCCGCTTTTTGCATTTCCTGTTCATACGCGTTGCCATTTTGCGCCTTGCAGGCCTGGTTTGAACCTGCGTCTTCTCTTTTACGGACATTCTTACTCTTCTATTCCACTTGCTGGGCTATGCAAAATTAGTATACACTATATTTACCAATCAATCCCGTCGATGGAATTCTGTTCTGCCCTGGATTGATTGCCTTCAATTTCAATTACAGAATCATGAATTTGTTAGTCAAGGCTTTCCACAATGGAGACCCTCTGGAGTCAAATGCGATGTGCGAACAGAAAAGGTGCTCACAAGGTGGGTATCTGTCTAGTAATCGTAATATGGTACAGCGTAGACTGGGAACTCCCTCATCCATGTTTTTGAGTCGATGGAAAAAGAATCAGTCATCGTTAGATTCTCGATAGAGCTCATCTGCCAGAATGTCCAAGACTGGGACCGCGGCTGCACGGACTGCAGCCAGTTCGGAGGCATTCATTTCAGTCAGGACATAGTCCGCAACATCGTTTCGATTTCGTGTCGATGGACGACCAATGCCCACGCCTACACGCAGAATGGACAGACCACCATTTGTTCCTTGCGCCGCCCGTCCTGCCCGCGGTGGATACAGGCCCTTGCCGCGCAGACTCTCCATGACACTGATCAAACCACGATGACCGCGCAGACTTGCCTTCTCAGCCCCGCCCCTTTTCACCCTCACCTTGCCCAACGGTGCCTCGAGTTCATCATGCAAGATTACCAGCGTCGGTCGGAAACTCTTCAGCGAGCGCGGGTCAACGCCGCGGAGCTGCCATTCGGCGTTCGCTGCAGATGCATCGCCGAAGTGCCCGGGCAAAGCGACGTCCCCTTGGTGGACTACCCGCCCTGATACCTCGGATTGTGTTGTGGATAACCAGTTGTTGAGCTGTCGGACCAACTTTGGCCCGGATTCGTTCATGTACGATGGGCTGTACCATGTTTTGTAGAAGATGGGACCGGCTGATGGCTGTCTGGAGGATACCAGAGGGACTCGAGTGGGGAGGAGGGGGACAAGCGCATCGAGGAGGATATGCCCGGCGCTGTGCCGTGTTTGACGGTACGGACGCATATTGCCTAGTGAGGCGATGAACAGGAACCGGCAGGGGGTTTTGAGGACTGGGCCATCGGCTGCCATTGCGGTGCAAGAGGGACGGGGTTATGCGATAATTGGTCTTTGTGAACGCTTTAGAATGTTTGATTTCGCAGATTCGCTGTAAGATCTGCCAAGTTGGAGTGTGGAACAGTAATCGAGGTATAATTTTGTAAATATGTACCTCAAAAGAGGACCAAATCAGGTAACTTAATGACGGAAGCTCAAATGCATCAGTTCTTCAGTGTGGTTGTTATTATCATTCCTATTATTATTGGATATGAAGATTCTGGTGGTGCGGGAGATCGCCATTATGACTGTGGGGACAACTTTCACAATTGGCCCGTGGAATTGATAGTGTTTTTGATGGCGGGTTAGTCTTTCCGGCCTAACGATGCTGTGGAATTACTGTGAGCTATTTCAAAAGAAACTCATGATGGCAGAAAGGGTGACTACTCGTGCAAAGATAATCACCGGCCGCAAGCCCATTTCCCATGTCAACATGACGGAGCACCCAAGGAAAGATTGGCTTAAGTGATTATTTGACTTGGTCAACTAGGGTGGTTGACTTGAACAGATCTCAATTTTCCACATACTGGTTACTGATCGTTGTGTATCTGAGCGTTCTATCGTTAGACTAGTTGCATATACGTGCATTCGAGAGTAGATGAGATGGCACTTTTGCCTGAATAGCTGCTATGACAGAATAGTGTTTTGCCAGTACATTATCTACAGAAATGGTACAGGCACCTGGACGATTAAGAAGAAACCATAAGCATACATGAATAAAGCCATCCAAAACCCATTTTTGAGAGCTGAACTCCATGCAAACCCAATAATGCAATAAGACACGTAACAAAGGTATTTGGATCCAAATGAGAGCATGCTACAGCTGGAACTTGGTACGCTGTTTCTCCATGCCTCCCTTCCACTCCCACTCCTGTCCGCTAGCACGTTGAATTCCCTTGTCAACTCGACGCAGCTTGAAGTTGATTGCGGGACCAAGCTCTTGAAGGCCAGCGCGAATGCCTTCTACACCCTTAATCTCCTTGCCGTCTGTGCCAACGACACTCTTCTCGGTCTCGCGCTTCTCGCGAAACACATAACGATGACGCCGGAGAAATAGGTAGTCTCTTTGGTTGTGAATTGTGACGACTTGACGTCCTTCCAGGTCCGGTTGTGGTGGGAACATACTCCGGAATAGATGGGCTGTAAGCAGACCTAGAGGAGTGCGGAAGTTATTGAGGATCAGTTCCGGCCAGTGCTCGGTGGCATTTCCATGTCCCGGGAGCTTTTTGCCTTCAATCCATCTGCTGATAGTGAAATGGAATGTGGGGCCCTGAGGCAGGTGGACAATGGTCAGACCAGAAGGTCGTTTCTGATCCTCCTGGAGAACCACGACGGCAGTATAGTTCCGATTAGAAGCGAAGGAAGCAATTTCGCGGATGGAGAACTTGTGGGAGTAGCGATGGGCTGTACGACGGATATAGAAGCTGTTTGGAAACAAGTCGGTAAGGGATCTGGCCTGGTCATGGAGGGTGGAGTTGAGTGAGGTGGTAATGAGAATTTTGGGTGCCGGAGGAGGCTCTGAAGAGAACAGTGTTGGAAATTTAGCGGCGAGAGCCTCTGGCGCTAGGTTGAGGTTCGTACTCCGAGTCGACTGGCTCGGACTGGTTGCTCGTTCTGTAGCAGACGGAAGGGAGGACTTTTTGCGTCCCCGTCTATCATCCTTCTGATCCTTCCCATCTCCGTCTTCTTCTTCGTCGTCGCCGTCCTCTTCCTCGTCGCTGGTGGCTAGCATACTGTCGACATCATCTTGATCTCCCGCATCATCTTCAGCCTCGTCCGATCCCACCTCGCTATCTTCCAATGGTCTGTTAAGTTCGTCCTCCTCCTCTTTCTTCTGTCGCTTGATGCGCTCGACATCAACACTGAGGCCGAGCGCATCTTCAACGTCACTACCGGCCTCATCCCAGACACGTTTTCGATCCAGAGTCAGCGGGATATTCCGTTTGAGACGCTCCTCCTTCAAGTTCGGGTTTTTGGCTTCTTCCTTCTTTCTTCCAAATCGTTCGGCTCGTCGCTCGGAGTCCTTGGCCCGCTTCCGCTTGATATGAAGCATTTGACGCCTCAATTTGTTCGCGGGCTTATAATCCAGAGCGGCGCTCGGGGGAGGCTTCGATTGCGACTTTTTGGAACCCATCTTGATCCCAAAATTGAGGACCGTCCAACCTCGTGAATGTTGCTATATCGATTCCGATGTGGAGGAGAAGGAAATAATGATAATAATTTTGACGGACAAATGTTTCGCCGGCGGAGGGTTCGACTAGATAGCCCAGAATTGCCTATTGCGGCAATGTGACTCGACCCCTTGGAACCAAGAAAAATAAGAAGAAAATCAAGAGAAAAGGGAGATTTTCAATTCTTCTGTTTCACATTCGTTTCGTCTCTGCTTACCAGCTCCCATTGTCTTTCATTACTGTCCGTTCATCAGGTTCGTTAGTTCTGGGTGCCGACTCACGTGGTGGATGACTCAATTGCCATTTCTTCGACTCTTTCTTCCCCGCCAAATTCCTCTCTGTAACCCCGCCAGAAGCTTTTCCCACACCACCGCCGCGCTCAAGGCTGTCCAGGCTTCCAAGAAGGATCAGCTCACGATGGCGACTGTAAACACCAAGACCGGCAAGGTCGTTGACCGCACGGTCCTGGACTCAATGCTCCGACGCCGGCTTTTCTACACCCCCTCTTTCGAGATCTACGGAGGTGTTTCCGGTCTTTACGACTACGGTCCCCCCGGTACCGCCCTGCTGAACAACATTGTGGACCTGTGGCGCAAGCATTTCGTGCTGGAGGAAGACATGTTGGAAGTGGAGTGCACCATGCTGACCCCGCATGAGATTCTGAAGACCAGCGGACACGTCGACAAGTTCGCCGATTGGATGTGCAAGGACCCCAAGACTGGAGAAATCTTCCGCGCGGATCATTTGGTGGAGGAAGTTCTCGAGGCTCGCTTGAAGGGCGACAAAGAGGCGCGTGGTGAAAAGGTTGTCGTGGACGAGGAAAAGGAAGCGAAGAAGAAGAAGAAGGCAAAGGACGCAAAGGCCGTCAAGCTTGACGATGCCGTTGTCAAGGAATACGAGGAGGTTTTGGCGCAGATTGATAACTTCGATGGTGTTCAATTGGAAGAGATCATCGCCAAATACGATATCAGAAACCCGACGACCGATGGCAACCTCCTTCCTCCCGTCGCTTTCAATCTCATGTTCCAGACTTCGATTGGCCCCAGCAGCAACATGCCGGGTTACCTGCGGCCTGAAACCGCTCAGGGTCAGTTCTTGAACTTCCAGAAACTGCTGGAGTTCAATCAACAATCCATGCCTTTCGCATCGGCCTCCATCGGCAAGTCTTTCCGTAACGAGATTTCGCCTCGCGCGGGTCTGCTGCGCGTGCGTGAGTTCCTCATGGCTGAGATTGAACATTACGTGGACCCCGAGGGTGGCAAGAAGCATCACCGCTTCGAGGAAGTTAAGCATATCGAAATGTCTTTTCTCAACCGTCACGTTCAGCTTTCTGGAAGCACCAAGACTGAGAAGATGACCATCGGTAAGGCGGTTGAGACCGGTTTGGTCGACAATGAGACACTTGGATACTTCATTGCCCGTATCCAGCTGTTCCTTCTCAAGCTCGGCGTGGACCCGAACAAGCTCCGCTTCCGTCAGCACATGGCTAACGAGATGGCTCACTACGCCGCTGATTGCTGGGACGCGGAATTGCTGACCAGCTACGGATGGATTGAATGTGTTGGCTGCGCTGATCGAAGTGCCTACGATTTGACAGTGCACAAGAACAAGACCGGTGCACCTCTTGTTGTCCGCGAG